CTCGTCAATTTTGAAAACACTTAAATTGTTTTAAAAAAAGAATCAATATTGTACTTTCCATTATCAAAATGACCATTGGCGCAGGTAAAAAAGAATAGTTTTATTTTTTTAAATGAATTTTACTATTTAGAACTTCTAGCGAAATCAAAAAAGCTGCCTTTTGAACCAGTTATTTTTCTAATTGGATGGTTTCATGAAATAAGAAAGTTCGAAAAAAAATTCCCAAAAGCATCAACGTTTAATTAGGCAAAATGTTCTGAAAATCTAAAAAATGAAATTTTTTCAAAAAGTTTGGCTACATTCAGAATATCAAGTGTATCTCTACATTCATCTACCATGTTATACCATGAAAATTCAGCAAAATACCGCATCACTAAACGTTAACAACTGCGGATTACACCAATGTTCCTACGCACCAATTAGTCACGACATACTACAGATATGCTGCATTTGTCCGCAATTAAAGCTGCACATGATAAATGATGTTTTTGTATTTTTTCATAAAAACTTGAAAATGGTACTCCAAACGCTTTGAAAATTGTCTTATCCTAGGTTTTCTGTAAAAACTAAAAAAATGATTATTTTCACTTTAAGTCCTCGTTATTTGATCTGCAAAAAGTTTTTATCATGGTGTTTTCATCAAATTGATTTAAGTGCCACCAAAAAAAAAAGATTTTTAAGTGCCATCGAAATAAGTGAAAAAAAAACTATTTTTTGCTCAATTTTTTTCGCAAAAAATTTTGAAAATCATCATGCTCATTTTTGTTTTTTCATAGTTTGACAGTGGGTTGCTGTTCAATTTCGAAACAAACAATACAAAGCAGGAAATGAACAGTTTTGTTTGGGTTGTGAAAAATTTTTGTTTTGAAAACGGATTTTGATGTTTGGATTTCAATGTGAAGTGAAATTTTTTTTATACCTCGTTTTTTTTTTAGTTTGGTTTGAATTAGTGAAAACAGTTTCTTACATAAAAAAATCGAAACACAACAAAAAGAATAACGCCAAGCGAATATGTTTTCTGAATTTAACAATGAGGTATTGCAAAATCTTTGGCTACTTTAATTATGTCGAATGTAACTCTAAATAAAAGTTTCATGACTAAACCAACTATTACATTACTAAAAAATCAGCAATAAAACACATCCTTGAACAATATGATATTCAGATGACGCCATTGTTCCTACGCAACAGTTGGTTGCGATATCAAACAGACATGCTGCAATTTTCTGCAATTCAAATTCAGCAGAAAAAATAAGCAAATGATAATCTTTAAAAATTCCCATCACCTAAAAAGAACTTTAAATGGATCTTAGATTATTATGTTGACCGATTGCATTTTAAGGGTGTTTGAAAAAATTTTACCATCTTTTTTATATCAAAAAAATCTTTTATTATCAGTTAAACAACTCATACCACTAACACTCAGCAATGTAACTCTCACTCAAGTTTACCTACTGCCGATGACACCACATTCCCTACGCATCTTTTGGTAGCGACATAGAACAGATAATCTTCAATTGTGTCTAATTGAAAACGAAAAAATGAATATAAAAATTATATCATTTCATAATACTTTAAATTTGGCAAACCTTAAAATTTTACCTAGGAACTAGAAAGTTGCTATAAAATTCTTTTTTCATGTTCCAGTTATTTGATCTAAAATTCTTGTCGCACTTTTTTCATCAAATTGTTCAGGTGGCTGATTTTTAAGTGCCAACGAAAGAAATGAAAACAATGATCAAAATCATTTAGCTTTTTTTTCTATCGCGCTTTTAAGTGTTGTTTCTGCGCTGTTAAATGTTGTTTCTCAAAAATTTTAAATAAATAGAAATGCAAACAGATCTTTTTCTTACAAAACGGGAAAGGCAAAAAGAAATGTAAACTTTTTGTATTATGGAAAAAAAGTTATTTATCAGATTTCCTTGCGAAACAGAGATTGCCTTTTTAAAGCAATTTGATAGTTTCATTTCAATTATATAAAACAATGTCCATCAAAAAGAAACTCGAAAATCTACCAAAGATTCCGTTAAGAAAACTTTTAAAATTGAAATTTGAAGATAATAAAAAAAATAGTTTTTTCTTTTCTTCACGTTTATATCTTTTTAGAAGTTAAAATGACTCATACCACTAAGAATTTCAAGTATGGAACTCCTCAAAAAACCTTACCAATTGCACAGGGCATCAACGTTGCTACAAATTTTTCAGTTGCGATATACAACAGCTGCAATAGTTCGCAAAAGATTTTTGGAGCGCTTTATGAAATTCTGGCTACGGTTAGGGTAGTCCATATGTCGATACCTAGAAAATGGCAGCTTGAAGAACTTTTTGCCCTGACATTTTATAAGAAAAACATTTTCTCAAGGCGTTTTCATCCAATTGCTTGAATGTCTAATTTCCAAAGGTCAGCTAGAAAAAGAAAAAAAAGAATGATTTGTTTTCTATGTCCATATCATTCAATCGCGGTTTTTTTTAAACTATGTTTACGAATGATTTCAAAGCGCCAATAAAAAAGTGTAAGTGTAATTTTAATATTGTTTGGTTTATATTTTTTTTCTGCAAAAAAATTTGAAAACAAGTTTTGTTTAAATTGGCTTTTTGCTCTAAATAGCTTTTTGTCTTTTTGCAATTTTTGCTTTAAATTGCCAAAAGGGATGATTGCCTTTTTACTCCGCTTTAGCTTGGTTCATAGTCATAAAAACTGCTCATCATCATTAAAAAAGTTAAATGCATCAAAGATTCACTTTAGTTAATTATTTTGAAAATTACTAACTTGAGTAAGTGTCTCTAATAAACATTTAAATGCCTCATATTACCAAAACTTGAGTTGAGCTGTGGCAGATGACACAAAAGAGCCTAAGCATTTTTTGGTAGCGACATAAAACAGACATGCTCTGCAACTGAGTTTCAACAAAGAAATGCTTGTTTGTAGAGTTTTATAAAATGTTCATTATGGCAGTTCTTAGTTCACGCTGCAAATAAAGTGTTTTAGTTTTTTGTGTTCCTGTCATGTGATATGACAACAAACTTTATCACTGTGTTTTCGTCAAATTGCTTTTAGGCTAATTTTTAAGCGCGCATAAAAGAAGTGAAAAAAAACGCATTAGAAACTCGAGCTGCACCACAACTTAATGATAGTATATAATTTTGAAAGTCAAAAATTGAAGGTGTTTAAAAAAAATGTTTTTTTTTCATAATTTCAATTGTTTCCCCTATTAGAAGTTTTAAGGACTTATACATTTAAAATTCAGCAAGGTAACTCCTGACTAAACATTACCAACTGCTGATGACATTATTGTTTAAACACACAGTGTGGTAGCGACATAGATAAGTCGATAAACCAAACAAGACAGGGGAAGTTATTTTACTCAGTGAAAGAACTATATATCTATGAAAACTAATACTTCTTGCGAGTTTATCGAAATTGATTGTCCATCCATGGATCAAACTGATTACTTCACTATTATTTAACAAATAAAGAATCACTCAAAAATTACGCATCAGAAATGATAAAACTTCCAAATACTCCTTAAGAGTCAGAATATGAGTCATGCTATACTGTGTATCAAACGTACTTCGCGATGTTCAACAGTTTTGTTCAAGAGGCAATCAAAGCGGAAACAAAAATATTAATTAGATATTTTTAGAAACTATATTAAAGGTTAAAAATTGAGTTATTCAATAGTTTCTCCATTCCCTAAAAAATCTCAAAGTTAAATCAGATTGTATTGAAACTACAAAAATTGTGTAAAATCTTTTTTTAGCTTTGGAGCGGACCTAGCATTTTCTCGAGGAGGGGGCGGACTTTCAAAAAAATTCGAAAATTTTGTCGACTTGACTTTTTTTTAGGTCGACCGAATTAGTTTTTGATTTTCTAACACTTCTTCTTAGCACTGTTTAGTCCCTGTTTCGGTCAAATTTTCAATTTTTTGCGCCGCAGGCAAAAATTTGAATTTTGAAAAAGGCATTTTTAGGCACTTTTTGGAAAATTTTGACCAAAAAATTGCGTATTTTCGGCGTGCTCTCACCCCTCAAAAGGCGCCTTTAGAAAAATTTTAGGGTCGGTCGGCCAAAAATGGATTTCTTAATAAGTACCAAGCTATCTTTTTTGAGTTAATGTAAAATCAAGTGACATTTTTGTAATAGAATTCTTAATTTGTAGAACCATTTTTGTCTTGACTTCCCTTGGAAACAATTTAATCTGATTATAATAATCAAAAATGGATGTATGCATAATTTGATGAAGCACCAATCAAAAAGATAACAATTTCTGGCGAAAATTTATTTAACCTAGAATTTTTTTGAAGGAATAGTTTTTAAAGGGCGGTCAGTCCAATAAAGCTTCACTTTGACAAGCTTCAAAAAACAACGAATCCAATTTCCAACTGGGATTTCTAATGAAACTCATTCTGGTAGAGCTCAAATAGAAAAGCGCTTGTCTTGGAAGCTTTTTGATCCAATTGACTATTTTTATCCGCAGGTCACTAAATTTAAGGTCGATATTCCATCGATTTTTTTCTTTTCTTAGAAACCTTGCTTTTCTATTTTTCTGAATGAAATTTGAATCACTTGGAACTTTTGGAGATATTTTAAGTTCTTTGAACACGAATTTTCTCGAGTTTTTTCGTATATGCAGCGAGTTCCAACAGTGCTCAAAACTGAATAGACCATTCTAAGGGGTTGACCGATCGTTTTCGCGTGGATGGGATAAAAAAATTGTTCGGTAAACTTCGTAGTGAAATTTTTAAAATAAAAGTAAGAAGATAGCATCATGCGTAATTTTTTTTTTTCTGTATTATTTAGTGGCATCGCATAACTCAGCTTTTTTGTCCTCTTTATTTTTTAACAAGTATCTTGTTAATAAGTCCATTTTTAATGACGTACAGAACTTTGATCAATTTTCAACGTATACGTTGCCAAAGTTTAAACTCTCGTCCAATGCACAATTATCTCATTTTTGTTTTCAAAAATAATCTTTTTGATTTTTTCGCTCGAACTGAAACATGTTCTTTTTTTGGCGATGTGCAGTTAATGAATTCACAAATGGTAACAGTGGTTAGAACAGATAATTGAGCCGCATCCAACTTAACTTGAGTTGCATCAATTTTATCAATTTTACAGTAGATTCAAAATTACATTCGAGCTGCCATGTAAAAAATCTTTTTTATCTCTTTTGATGCTTCTAGATGCTTACGTAAACGCGCTGCTAGAAATTGAAAACACTTTTGGTTCATGAAAACAAATATTGTTGTTCAGCGGAGAAAACAAACGAGATACGGGGCACGTGTTTTGGATTTCGAATATTAACGACAGGTGACAACCGTAATTAAAATTTGGTTCTGAAAGAAGGGCTAAAAAGGAGGTCCAGCAGAAATGGGGTTCCAGAAGAGTCCGGACATTTCATCGCTCTTCACAAGACTGTTGGCTGTGGTTCTGGTGCTGCTACTCTTCAGGTATTTCCGCTTGTTTCTCAATACCCCCCTGCACCATATTCCTCACTTAAGAAAACAATACCCCAACCGCACTTTTTCAAGAAGGTTTCTCTCTCACTAGCTGCAAAATAATCCCTATCAGCTTCCTGAAAATAGGTCGCTTTGTTGAATTTGAATTTAGCGTAAACATTCAATCAAAAAATATAGATATTACAAGATGAATTCATAATCAGGGTATCCAAAAGTGCTTGTCATTTTTTCCAGACATTTTGTTTATTTAGTTGTTGTATAAACACCCATTTGCAATGAAATTACAATATATCCATTCAAGTTGAAAATAGTAGAAAAATAACAGGATCAGAGAGAAATTTGTAAGGAAATTGTCAGTATGAACGTCAAAATTTGAGCGGGCAGTATCAAGCTTTTCAAGTGGTTTTAGCGATCAATTTACGTTCCATTTTTGAAGACACTATCAAACAATTTTTTCGCAATCAAAATATTGACAACTAATTGAGAAGTTTAGATGCTGTACGCTGATACTTGAATACTTTTGAAAGTTTGGATCGCTGTGTTGGTACGAATAGCTTCGAATCTGGAATTTCGAATTTAGATTGTATATCTGAATAACAAAATTATTGTAGCATTATTGTTTTTTTCTTGCTGTTGTAGATCCCGAGCATCGTTCGTGTCGGCGGCAGCAGGTTAGTAACAAACAATCGTTTAAAAAGACAGCGCATCAGATTCAGAGGCGTGCGCAGGGGAAAAAGGACAGAAAGTTTTGGTTGTGAAATATTGGTAGTTTGGTTGTACATAAAATTTTGTCCTTCCTTTGAAGCCAGCCACATTTAAAAGTTCGAGCCGGACTGAAATTCTAAAATGAAACCTTTGCAAAAATTTCAGCACCATGCATAATACTTATCGTTCCGAAATTGTGGAATATTTTTTTTATTTGGGATAATTTTTAGTGAGATTTTGAAATATATTTCACTGATGATTGTTTTTCCAGTATTAAAATCTCTTGAATTTGGTATTACTTTCACTACTACAAATCAAATTGTAATAATTGACGCGCAATACATTCTGTGTTTATTAAAGCGTAAGCGGGAAAATAAATCCTTTCAATTTAAACCGAGGCAATCAATTTGCTCCTATTACTCGAACAACTTTTCAAAACATTCAAAACAAGAAAACTTGGATTTATTGTTTAGGGAGATTCAGTCTAGTTTCAAGCGAGTAACGCGATCGAGTAACGTTCATTATAAAGAAATTTGTTTGTTTAGAATTTTTGGCTCACAAAGCTTGATTTGATTTATTATGAAGAAAACGACTTTTTGATGTTTCATTCTTCGATTTTTTGGCAATAAAAATTTTTTTTACAAAAAAAAAAACTTTTTTGTCTAAAAAAAATAAGAAGGTATTTTACAGTAAAAATGTTTTTTTTTCTTTTTTTTGTTGTTTTTTGTTCTTTGAAGAAACTTTTTATCAATTTTGCCTAATTTACTATTGCTGACGCGTTTGTATAGTTCTCGAATCACATCACGCACTAAAAACGACACTAATTAGAAAAAAAAAGAACCGTCTTAAATAGTTTTTCATGAATAAAATCGGAAAATTTTCTCTTATTTACCCAGCAACGGGTACAATTGTTCACAAAGTTAAATAAATTTGGCAAAAGTTTATCAAAATAGTGTCTGAGTGTGTGTTGGGAGAGCTCGGAAAATCAATATGATCGACCTAGAAAAGTTACACATTTCTGGCTTTTTTTGCTTATTTTTACATTTATGCCCCGCTGCAAATTATCATCTTTTGTTGCTGTCCTTTTTTCACTGTTTTTTGTTACGATCATTGAAAATGGGGACGAACTTTGTATTCGAGTGTGTTTCAGATTTTTTCTTCTGTTTGTTTTCCACGCAAAATCAGCTACCACAAGTAATCATCGGACCGGGTCGAGTGATATATCATTTAAAAGCACTTTCAGTTGTAATTCGAACTACACTAAAATATTTCCAAAAGGTTCTTCCATTTTGGAAAAAAACCGGTTTGAATTTATGATTTTTTGTTTTATTTCGATCGATTAAAGCAAGCGAGCACTCTTTTTCGTTTTTCTTCAAAAAATCAGCCAGAACGAATAATTATAGTACTGCGTTGACTGATATATCATATTGAGGCCCTTTCAATCGAGCTTTGAACGACACAAAAATTTCAAAAATTTTGAGAAAAACCGGTTCAAATTTTTTGATTTTTCGTCTAAATTCGAGCAAGTGAGCCGGCTTAAATTAGCTTATTTATGCTCAATTTAAGCCATGAAAATTTAATTTTACTCTAATGAAGTTAGTTTTTGCAGTTTTTATTTTTATCTTAGGAGTCAAAAATTTCAAAAATTGGGGGAAAAATTTGGAATTTGGTTTTTGTTTTTCTTGTTATTTGTCTTCAAAAATTGTTTTCCAAGTTGCATATCTTACATGACTGACGAAAAGGTCTAAGCTCTACTTTTTCGCTCACTGTCCGTTATCACACCAAGTCGAAAAAAAACAACCTTAATTGGAAAAATAATTTTGTTTTAATTTTATAAGACTGGTCGGAACACTCTGTGCTACTTACACAGTAACCGGTTATCCTTGTTTTAAAATGCATAAACTGACTTATTAAGCTTTTCCAAATATTTTTGGCAATTTTATTTACCTTTTCAAAAACCACTCGTTGCATCATTAGTTTGATGCTAAATATGAGGTTTAGGTGAAAAGCATTGAGAAAAAGAGAAGAGGTTTAGCATTGAGAAAAAGAGTGAAGGTGAAAATACAGGAAAACATCCAATGTTGAGACGACTAACTTTCTTTTGTCTCATGTTTCAGCAACCTTCACTTATAACACTACAATGACTACGTTTGACAGCATTGGGTTCGAGGTGTCAGGTGTGCAGCCCAGCGATGGGTTCATGTCAATCGAGCGGAACGGCACTCTGGCTTTTGTGGGTGTGCTGAACGAATTCATAATTGACAACGGCTCCTTGGCCTTTGCTCCGACCTCATCCGCCTCACTACAATCCGCACAATTCTACTTCTACGAATTATTCAACAACGCCTCAATCTCAGAGGGCAACGCAACCATGTGCACCGGTAATTCAGGGACAAAAATATTTTTGCCACCCCCCCTTGTACTACTACTAACTACTACTTTCTAGCAAAATGAATCATAGACTGCTGCAAATTGTTCAAGTTGAAGATTTGTGGAGGTATAGGACAAACGAGTATCTTGTATCAGGTACCAAAATTTCCCGCTTTTGCTGAGGTTAGGATGGGGAACAGGTAAGGGGAGTCAAATACTGTCAAAATCCTGTTTGAAAACGAGCCTGCAGGTCTAATGGTGGCTCTTTTCCTACCCAACATTACAACTTCAATCGAAAAATATATATATATATATATATATGAAGTAGATGAAATTTTGCTAAGTGACCACTAATACTATTATTACTGTTAATAGTTACCTAATGAAAAATAGACAACACACACCTACAAACTGTAAATTAGTTTTAAACTTAAAAAAATGTGGTGGATTGCATCATTTGAAATTTCGTTATCAATTATTTCTCCTTCAGTTGAATAATGTCTCAAAAAAGATATCGCCGCAAGCTGAAAAAAAACGGCTTCAGAAGTGCTAGGTCTCAAATTGTATTGCCAAAGTGACACATAGTCTAGTATCAGCCAGAGATCTGTACCAGGCTTCGTCTAACCGAAGTTTAATCTCGATTGCCTTCTTTGCCTTCTTTGCCTTCTTTGCGATCTACACCAAGAACGCGCGCATGTAGTTTTGAAACAGTAGGCGTATGCTGAGGCAGCAATCGGGCAATTTTTTTTAACCTGATTGCCTTTTTCAGTAGTTTCTTAAAAATATTTCCCTAAGGGGCTCCAACCATGGCATCACAGAAGGGGCGCGCTCACCACTAGACTATCATGGCTTACAGATTGCTGTGAAACGGTCAGTAATAGACTAACGCATGCGTATTTTTGGCGGGTTGCCCGGGTTGACCAAAAATGCTTACCATACAATTGTCATAAATGGCAAATTTCTTTTCATACAATTTCATACAATTCCATACGTACTGAAAATTGTATGAAAACTCTATGATAAGCGATTTCCCATAAATGGAAATTGTATGATAGGTATTTTCTCCATAAACCAAAAAGTGACAGCAACCGAACACAAGTGACAAAGACCTTGGTTACTCAAAGCACCAAAGGTTGGACGGTCTTGCATTTACAATGCATAGAAAACGACCTGTCATTCACAAATGATATAACAAAAATAACAAACTTTTAATTTTTGTCAAAATTTTTCAGTGATGATTATTTTAACTTTGTGAATTTTCAAATTATCAGACATTAATCAAGGCATACAATAACACGCCATACAAAAGAAATAGGAGTTTTCAGCGTTTTTTTTTAAAAAAATTGAGTGAAAAGAAAAAAAGCCAATATTATCGTATTCAGGACTACGTTATACACACAAAAAATTAAATCTTGCATGCAAAAAAATTCTTTCGGAAAATGTTTGTTTGCGTACAAAATTCGATTTGCGTTGGAAAAAAAAACAAAAAAGTTTTTTGGAGCAAATTTTCAAAATTACTTGGAAAATTTTTTGTGTCGTATGTGAAAATTGTATGGTAAGCCATTTTTTCAAAAAAAACTTAATGACTTTTTTTTTGTCATCAGTCTGTTCAACTGTTCTCGAAAACCGCAGAAACGGTTTAATTTTGTTTCTATTGCTTTTCAAAAATGTATGAAAATTGTATGACAAGCATTTTCTCCTTACACTTGATGTACGGAATTGTATGACAATGATTTTTGTTGTATGGAATTGTATGATAAGCATTTTCCGAGTATGGAGATTAACCCGGGTGATTATTCGGCTGGTTTATATATCACCCGAGCAAGCACAGTGCCGCTCGTTAGGGATATTGCAGAAACAAAGCTAGCTCCAAACTACCTATATGGCAATCCATATCAAAAAACATATCCTGGTAGCTTTCATTAAATAATGAAGTACCCCGATTTTCTTTGATCAGATGGCAAGATGGTCCTGCGAATATGCTTGGGGAAGTCTTAAGTCGTCACAAATGCCCACACTTTAGAGGAGAGTTGTTGGTTGATGGCCTGAAATTCTTAAGATTTTGTTGTTTTCAAACAAAGTCTAAGAATATTTCTACAAAATCTGAACATAAGTCTGCAAAGTCTGACGATAAGTTTTCAAAGACTGAACATAAAGTCTGCAAAGTCTGAACATACGTCTGCAAAGTCTGAACATACGTCTGCAAAATCTGAACATTTGGCTACAAAATCTGATCATGAAGCCTGGAAAGTAAGCCTGTAATGACTGATTATGTGCAAACTCTGAACGTCATTCTGCAAAGTCTGAGCATAAAATCTACAAAGTGTGAAACGAATTCGCAAAGTCTGAACATAAAGTCTGCAATGTCTAAAAATACGTCTGCAAAGTGTGAACATACGTCTGCAAAAACTGAACATAAGTCTGCAAAGTCTTATAAGCGTCAGCAAAGTATGAACATACGTCTGCAAAATCTAAAAATACGTCTGCAAAATGAGGACATACGTGAGCAAAAACTGAGTATAAATCTGCAAAATCTGAACATAAGTTATCAAAGTCTGAACATAAAGCCTGCACAGTAAATCTGCAAAGACTGAACATAAGTTTGCAAAGTCTGACCCTCATTCTGCAAATTCTGATCATAAAATCTACAAAGTCTGAAAATACGTCTGCAAAGTATGAACATACGTCTGCAAAAACTGAACATAAGTCTGCAAAGTCTTATATACGTCTGCAAAGTATGAACATACCTCTGCAAAATCTAAAAATACGTGTGCAAAGTGTGAACATACGTCTACAAAAACTGAAAATAAGTCTGGGAAATCTGATCATAAAGCCTAAAAAGTAAGCCTGCAATGACTTAACATGTGCAAAGTTTGAACGTCATTCTGCAAAATCTGATCAAAAAGTCTACAAAGTCTGAAATAAATCCGCAAAGTCTGAACATAAATCGTGCAATGTCTGAACATAAGTCTGCAAAGTCTAATATACGTCTGCAAAGTCTGAACATACGTCTGCAAAGTCAAAAAATACGTCTGCAAAGTGTGAACATACGTCTGCAAAAACTGAATATAAGTCTATTCTTTTTCAAAAATGTATGAAAAGTGTATGACAAGCATTTTCTCCTTACACTTGATGTAATGAATTGTATGATAAGCATTTTCCGAGTTTGGAGATTAACCCGGGTGATTATTTGGCTGGTTTATATATCACCCGAGCAAGCACATGTGCCGCTCGTTAAGGATATTGCAGAAACAAAGCTAGCTCCAAACTACCTTTATGGCAATCCATATCAAAAAACATATCCTGGTAGCTTTCATTAGTTAATGAAGTTCCCCGATTTTCTGCAAAGTCTGAAAATACGTCAGCAAAGTCTGAACATACGACCTCAAAATCTGAACATACGTCTGCAATGTATGAACATACGTCTGCAAAAACTGAAATTAAGTCTGCAAAGTCTTATATACGTCTGCAAAGTGTGAACATACGTCTGCAAAATCTAAAAATACGTCTGCAAAGTGTAAACATACATCTGCAAAAATTGAAAAATAGTCTGCAAAATCTGATCTTAAAGCCTGCAAAGTAAGCCTGCAATGACTGAACATGTGCAAAGTTTGAGCGTCATTCTGCAAAGTCTGATAAAAAAGTCTAGAATATCTGAAATAAATCCGCAAAGTCTGAACATAAATTGTGCAATGTCTGAACATAAGTCTGCATAGTCTAATATACGTCTGCAAAGTCTGAACATACGTCTGCAAAGTCAAAAAATACGTCTGCAAAGTCTGAACATACGTCTGCAAAAACTGAACATAAGTCTGCAAAGTCTTATAAGCGTCAGCAAAGTATGAACATACGTCTGCAAAATCTAAAAATACGTCTGCAAAATGAGGACATACGTGTGCAAAAACTGAGTATAAGTCTGCAAAATCTGAACATAAGTTATCAAAGTCTGAACATAAAGCTTGCATAGTAAATCTGCAACGACTGAACATAAGTTTGCAAAATCTGAACCTCATTCTGCAAATTCTGATCATAAAATCTACAAAGTCTGAAAATACGTCTGCAAAGTATGAACATACGTCTGCAAAAACTGAACATAAGTCTGCAAAGTCTTATATACGTCTGCAAAGTATGAAAATACCTCTGCAAAATCTAAAAATACGTGTGCAAAGTGTGAACATACGTCTGCAAAAACTGAAAATAAGTCTGCGAAATCTGATCATAAAGCCTACAAAGTAAGCCTGCAATGACTGAACATGTGCAAAGTTTGAACGCCATTCTGCAAAGTCTGATCAAAAAGTCTACAAAGTCTGAAATAAATCCGCAAAGTCTGAACATAAAGTGTGCAATGTCTGAACATAAGTCTGCAAAGTCTAATATACGTCTGCAAAGTCTGAACATACGTCTGCAAAGTCAAAAAATACGTCTGCAAATTGTGAACATACGTCTGCCAAAATTGAATATAAGTCTATTGTTTTTCAAAAAGGTATGAAAATTGTATGACAAGCATTTTCTCCTTACACTTGATGTAATAAATTGTATGATAAGCATTTTCCGAGTTTGGAGATTAACCCGGGTGATTATTTGGCTGGTTTATATATCACCCGAGCAAGCACATGTGCCGCTCGTTAAGGATATTGCAGAAACAAAGCTAGCTCCAAACTACTTTATGGCAATCCATATCAAAAAACATATCCTGGTAGCTTTCATTAGTTAATGAAGTACCCCGATTTTCTGCAAAGTCTGAAAATACGTCTGCAAAGTCTGAACATACGACCTCAAAATCTGAACATACGTCTGCAATGTATAAACATACGTCTGCAAAAACTGAACATAAGTCTGCAAAGTCTTATATACGTCTGCAAAGTGTGAACATACGTCTGCAAAATCTAAAAAATACGTCTGCAAAGTGTGAACATACATCTGCAAAAATTGAAAATTAGTCTGCAAAATCTGATCTTAAAGCCTGCAAAGTAAGCCTGCAATGACTGAACATGTGCAAAGTTTGAGCGTCATTCTGCAAAGTCTGATAAAAAAATCTAAAATGTCTGAAATAAATCCGCAAAGTCTGAACATAAAGTGTGCAATGTCTGAACATAAGTCTGCAAAGTCTAATATACGTCTGCAAAGTCTGAACATACGTCTGCAAAGTGTGAATATACGTCTGCAAAAACTGAATATGAGTCTGCAAATTCTGAACATAAGTTATCAAAGTCGGAACATACGTCTGCAAAGTCTGTACATACGTCGTCTGCAAACTCTAAAAATACGTCTGCAAAGTGTGAACATACGTCTGCAAAAACTGAGTATAATTTTGCAAACCTGAATATAAAGCCTGCAAAGTAAATCTGCAAATACCAAACATAAGTTTGCAAAGTCTGAACCTCATTCTGCGAATCCTGATCATCAAGTTTGCAAAGTCTTAAATAAATCAGCAAAGTCTGAACATAAAGTCTGCAAAGTCTGAAAATACGTCTATAAAGTCTGAACATACGACTGCAAAGTCTGAACATACGTCTGCAAAGTATGAACATACGTCTGCAAAAACTGAACATAAGTCTGCAAAGTCTAACATACGTCTGCAAAGTCTGTACATACGTCGTCTGCAAACTCTAAAAATACGTCTGCAAAGTGTGAACATACGTCTGCAAAAACTGAGTATAAGTTTGCAAAATCTGAACATGAGTTATCAAAGTCTGAACATAAAGCCTGCAAGGTAAGTCTGCAAAAACTGAACATAAGTGTGCAAAGTCTGAACCTAAATTTGCAAAGTCTGATCATAAAGTCTACAAAGTCTGAAATAAATTAGCAAAGTCCGAGCATAAAGTCTGCAAAGTCTGAACATAAGTCTGTAAAGCCTAAATGTGATACTAAAAAATCTGCATTTCAAACTACAAAGTTTGAACATAAATCTCCAAAGCCCGAACATGCATCTGTCAAGTTTGAACATACAACTGCGCAAGAGCACAGGGATGAACCCAAAGACGCTACCCTCAGGAGCAAAAACACTATACGGGTGTATTCCTATCATGGAGGGACCGAATGATGGAAAACCATAAGCCAACCAGAATCGTTAAACGTTCCAATTAGCTGAATATTTTTTGCAAAAAACCTAAGTCAATATTAACAGAAATTGAATCATAGCAGCTTAGCAAAATTTTGCAGTGAAATTTGTGCAGATATTTTTTTGTATATAAAAATTCATTTTAATTTTTTTGAATATTTGAAAATGCATGTATCTCCGTGTTTTCAAAATAGTCAACATCCTTTTAATGGCCTGAATTTTTGCTATTCTCAAAATTTTCGCAATTTTTTTGACATTTGTGAATACTCAATTCTGATTGGCTGGAAATAACTGAAAGAAAATTTCCGATAATCGGCCCCTCCAGCATGCGGGCGCCACGCAAAACAAGCTTTTTGTTCTTTTTTTTTCGTGGCCTGTGAAGTTATCAGATCACGTATTGTCAGATCACCTGAAAAAACCAAAAAATGTTTGATATCTTTGACTATTCCCCCTTCTTTTGCGAGAGGGGGAGATTCGTTAATAGGTACAGAGTTTCAATATGTTTAACCAATGCATTATTTTTTTGGATGACTGGCATTTCTGTACTAGCTACCCTAGGGGAGGGAAATAGGTAAAGTGATCCGTGAGTTTAAAAGATGCATCATCGAATCTTTTTTTTTTGCTTTTCCTTTTCAACCTGAGTTTTTTCAACCCGACTGAAATAGTTTTTATAGCTCTCCCAGACTACAAAAGTATATTATTACCACATCAAGCATTCGACCCTTAATTACCCAAAGAATTGCCGCCCAAAGCCTTGAAAAAAAATGTTTTTGGCTTGCTTTTTTCTTCAAAAGTTCACTTGCGGCTCACATTTAAAAAAAAATCAGTTTAATCGACCTAAAAGGTCATTCATTTAAAAGGTCCAACCTATATCTTGAGAATTGCTAGAGCCGATTCTGTTTCTTAAGCTCGCTTAAAGTGCAGCTGAGCGTGCAGGGGCGGATTGAGTGGTGGGGGCAGGGGTTGGTACTTATTAAGAAATCCATTTATGGCCAACCGACCGTAAAAGTTTCCTAAAGGCGCCTTTGGCGCCATTATATACTAATTTTTAGGCAGCTGAATTTTCCGAAAAGTGCCCAAAAATGGCATTTTGACCTGAGGTTTCTTTATAAATTTGCATGCGGCGCAGAAAATTTTGTCGCCAAATAGGCCTATATAATGTCCTGGGAATGCTGGAGAGCTTTGGTTGACCTAAAAAAATTTGAAATTTGCTCTCTCTCCTCGAAAAAATTCTAGATCCGCTCCTGTGCGTGTGTGTATGTTTAGGAGGGAGTTGTAATGGATAGTGGACGAAAAGGGAAAATGTTCGTTATATTTTAGCACCCAGGCCGCCAGTGGGAGTTGCCGCCCAACTGGACGATGATGGCCTCGGTGTGAAGGTCTCGTTCGGAACGGACCCCCGGAATCAGGCCCAGCTGAATAGTTTCATTGTTGAGGAGGTCAATGGCACTGCAATCACTCTCACTCCTGCTTTTCTAGGTTTGCCCATATTTATGCTTGATATATTTATGCATAGATACAGTGCTGATTTAAATTAACCGGACAAAACGCGTTAAACTTGAAATTTAAAACGCGTTTTTCTCAAATTGGGTTGATTTTAGGAGAAAACTCATGAAGACAAAACTTGCTTAAAATTTTAGCAGAATTAATATGGTGTAACTTGTTTTGCAAAAATCGGGTCCAAAATTGTACCCCAAAAATGGGTCATTTTGGTTTTTCTTAGTTAATCAAAAATTACGCCAAAAATACCCAGTCGATTACAGACATAATTATATCAAAGTAAGCCCCTTGCGTAGCTCAACAAACTTTAAGAAGGGTATAATCTCCAAAAAATTGTATAAGTTAATTTATTTTTGTTTGATAGACAAAAAAGGTCATTTTTACTATATAAAATACCAACTTTTTATTTAAAAACAATTTTTAAACAATTTGCATTTTTTTTGGAGAAAATACCCTTCTTAAAGTTTGTTGAGCTACGCAAGGGGCTCACTTTGAAATAATTATGTCTGTGATCGACTGGGTATTTTTGGCGTAATTTTTGATTAACTAAGAAAAGCCAAAATGACCCATTTTTGGGGTAAAATTTCGGACCCGAATTCCGCAAAACAAATTACACCATATTAATTCTGCTAAAATTCTAAGCAAGTTTTGTCTTCACAAGTTTTCACCTAAAATCATCCCAATTTGAGAAAAACGCGTTTTAAATTTCAAGTTTTACGCGTTTTGTCCGGTTAATTTAAATCAGCACTGTATACAGTGCTGATTTAAATTAACCGGACAAAACGCGTTAAACTTGAAATTTAACCCTGAAATTTAAACTTGACCCGTTTTTCTCAAATTGGGTTGAGTTTAGGTGAAAACTTATGAAGACAAAACTTGCCTAAAATTTAAGCAGAATTAATATGGTGTAATTTGTTTTGCAAAATTCGGGCCCAAAATTTTACCCCAAAAATGGGTCATTTTGGCTTTTCTTAGTTAATCAAAAATTACGCCAAAAATACCTGGTCGATCACAGACATAATTATATCAAAGGGAGCCTCTTACGTAGCCCAACAAACTTTAAAAAGGTATAATCTCCAAAATGTTGTATAAGTTAATTTATTTTTGTTTGATAGACAAAAAAGGTCGTTTTTACTATATAAAATACCAACTTTTTATTTAAAAACAATTTTTAAACGATTTCCAAATTTTTTTTGGAGAAAATACCTTTCATAAAGTTTGTTGGGCTACGTAAGAGGCTCCCTTTGATATAATTATGTCTGTGATCGACTGGGTTTTTTCGGCGTAATTTTTGATTAACTAAGAAAAGCCAAAATGATCCATTTTTGGGGTAGAATTTTGGGCCCGAAATTTGCAAAACAAATTACACCATATTACTTCTGCTAAAATTTTAAGCAAGTTTTGTATTCATAAGTTTTCACCTAAACTCAACCCAATTTGAGAAAAACGGGTTTTAAATTTCAAGTTTAACGCGTTTTGTCCGGTTAATTTAAATCAGCACTGTATAATTAGAATAAAAAAGCAAATATTTCGGACAGTCAGAAGTTGTCAAAAAGAGCAATATGATTGGTTCAATCTGTCCGAAATTTTGGCGAAAATAGCATGCACTTTTTCTAGGCTTCAGAAAATGCTCAGTTGCTAATTCTGTCTAAAAAAGTATGCAAAATCTTTCCGAAATTGGCTCTTTTTAAAGTCGAATTGAAACATATCTGAGCTGAGTCGAATAAATGTTGGAATTTTTTTCTGTCGGGAAACTCGAGACAGTCGAACTTACCTTTTTTCTATCAAGAAAATTGAAACATATCTATGCGAGGTCGAATAAATATAATTATAAAATGTCGAGAATTTCAAGAAATTTGAAACAAAGCAAACTTTGGTTGATGAATTTGAGACATCTGAACTTGGTCGAAGCGGACGAAAAATTTTTTTTTTAGGTAAAAAAACTCGAAGCTTAACAAAAATCGGTCGAGAATGTCAAAACGTAAATCGAGCAACTGCACTCGGGCTATAGAAGCATCATCAATTTTTCTTTTGCCCACAACTATTCAAGAAAATTAAAAGTTTGCCAGAAGATCAGGGCTTTTGCTCTCATAAAAACAAGTACGTCCCATTTCTGTATTTCAAAGAACAATTATTTTTTAATTATGTCCTCTACATTATTTAAAATTATAACAAAATAACAATAATAACAATTATAACAAAATAACATTTTGCTCTTTTTTAATTCCTTCTTAAAATTTTATTACCAAAAAAGACACTCAACGAATTTTCGAGATAATTTTTAAACTTGAATGAAATTAAGCAATTGTTAATTTTGTAAAAATCAATTTAAGACAAACTAATGTAAGCCTATTGCAATCCCTGTTCGGTCGATCGCGTTCCCTCGAAGCTAGACAAAGAATGACAAAATTCAAACCACTTTTCTTGACCCAGAGCAAAATTTCTGGAAATTGTTGAAAGTTGCTCGAATCACGACTGAAAAATTTGCTTGGAAAAAAAGAAAAAACTAAAGCACCATTGAATATAAAAATTAGTCCCCATTTTCAATGGTTGCAACAAAAGAAAAACAACAACACATCCGAAAATTAAGATCTTTTCGGGTAGTTGGTACTTAAACTGAAACCAGCAGTGTTTATTGTGCACTGGATAGGAGCACAGTTTCGGAACTATAGTCCACTGGAATCTAGAGACAAGTCTTTAAGCTTGGTTCAAAATTTAAGGGGATTCCACTTACAATATTTCCGTGGATTTCGTGTTTCAGTAACATAAGTCCGCAACGAGCGAAAAAAGCCAGTTGTTTCAGAATCCGTAAACGTTAGCGGATTCCGTAAAGTGTAAGCGGATTTTGCAAATTTAAGCGGATTCCGCTTACATTTTGGGGTTCCCGCTCACAATTTGCGGATTCCGCTTACAATTTGCGGTTCCCGCTCACAATTTGCGGATTCCGCTTACAATTTGCGGATTACCTTTAGAATTTGTGGATTCCGCTTGCAGTTGCGGTTTTTCCGACAGCGTACTTTTACTATACAATTATATTATAAATTGTTTGTGGATTCCGCAAATTTTGTTGCGGATTCCTCAAGTTTGCCTGTTTTTGGAGCGAGTATGAGCGATACAGTGCTTCAGCTATTTTTTCATGTAGTCCAAAACAGCAAAGAAGTTCAAAGAAAATAAGCAATGTGGCGGATTCCGCGACAAATCTGTTCATGGCCCCTGCGGAACCCGCTTACAATTCACAAAAAAAACAGTTTGGCCACCTAATGGAAACAGCATTCCATGAGAAAATTTTTAATTTTTTGTTTCATTAACTCTTTTTGCGTAATTGATGTGGTCGGAACCTTCGGCGCTAGTTGCTAAGTCAGTGTTTATTCTTGCTGCCAACTGCCTTTTTTGGCTTAGGTTGGGACTCGGCGGCTGTGAACGTGACTGGACTGGACCGATTCACCTGGTATCAATTCCGGGTGAGTCAGAGCTTCAACTGCACTGGCACAAATGAACAGTTGCTCAGTGATGGGACACTCTCAAATTCCATCCGTACAGGTAAAATTTACGTGTTCAATAGCTCAAAAACTCTCCCGTGTTGGGCTCCATTCGGGAAAAATTCTTGTCGCATTATGTCATGGTACCTTGGGATAATATTGATAACATGATAAACATAACATGATATATCATCTATAACAAGCATTTTTCCATAAATGAAAACTGTATATGCAATTTTCTTTTATGCAAAAATGCGTATCTTCTGTAGACTTTTGTTGTGTAATCTACACAACATACACGGACAAACACATCGCTTAACACAAAAATAGCACAATACCATACTTGCATACGAGGTACACAGTTAGTCACAATCTCGCACAAATACATAAAGATATAAAATTTACCAGGGTTGACAAAAAATCTAGCCATACAAATTCCGTAAACTTTTTGACCTATTCCATTCGGTCAATAAAAAATGTGTACTTATTAATCAAAAAATTTTCATCACTAGCCATTTGTCATACTAGACAAACTCTTTGCTACATGAAAGTTTTCCTTTTTTTCAGCTCCCAACGTGCAACAAGTGATGTCGGCTGTAGTCAATCAAACTACTATAGAATTGACGTTCAACGTGTCCGATGTTTCACCTGCCCTCGAGTTCCGACTCATCAGAAACGGAGAGCTCTACCAGACGTTCGTCAATGCAAACATATCTTCCAACACTTTTCTCGACACGGAGATTGGATCAAGTACGATTAACTACAAAAGTCTACTCAAGTATCATTCAACTTAACTATCTATCATTACTATTGACGCCTCTTGTGGTACGGAACTTATGTTTCCTGTGGGAAAGGAGTTTTGCGAAAAAAATGACTTTTTTTCGATTTTTTGAAGTAAAGGTACGAAAACACTTTTTAAGCTGACTCAAGGTAGAATCTCGGAGGCTTCAAAAACGCCCAATTTGGGCAATTAAGTTCCGCATCCCGCGCCACATTTCATCAATCCATCAGTTGAATTGAACAATTCAATTTAATCGCTTTTTTAGCGGAGTTGGGGACTAAACAAATTTTGACAAACTTAGTATTTTGAGAAACTTTATGGTTTGTCCAGTATTTATCAAAAACAAAAAACTTCCTGAGAACAAATTTTGAAAATTGTTCCTTTAATTAACCCTTCGATTTCCTGATTTTGCTAAGAATAAGCATTTTTCTAGTTTTGTCTTTAAAATTTACTAATTGGTCATTGCTGTTTGATTGCCTAGTAATCTATCCTAAGTTATAAGTCTTGCCTATGATCGTCAAGTTTTCTTGACAAAAGTTATAGTAGAAACAATAGTTAGAAAAAGGTATGAATTAATGAGCTGGGTGAATATAAAGCACAGGGTTATTGAATTATATAAAAGAATTGAACAGCTTAAAGAAATATATCTACGAGGGATGAGGTATTAACTCTTATTTTTACATTTATGTTTTGTCTGCTTATAAGGTTGACGATTGGCTAGGATTCTCGAATCAATTTTGAACGGGTCCACTTTTTTTAGGTCGTCTAGACGAGTCTTGTCCAGTTGTCTTCATGCTCTGGGTTTTCCCGTTTGTGCTTAGTTCGATTACTGTTTCATCGAAGTTAGATAAAAATTAATTTCTGTTTTATTGTGAAAAAAAAGACTAATTTTTATAAGTTTTTAAAACTAAAAAAAAAATTATTTATTTAAAAAATGAAGTTGTTAAAGAAGAGGACTTGGTGCTGACTGAGCAAATTGAAACACTGAAAACTTCAGGCCAGTCCTTTCACTTGCTCGTTTATTCTCCCTTCATCATAAGGGAGTTTTTAACTAAATTTTATTTGGTTTTTTCAAATCAAATAGCTTTAAATTATTAGTCCCCTTTGATTAAAACCGCAGCCTTCAGTTCGATCTTTTTGAAAATTCATAGTACACTCTCTGATGCATCATATTGATGGTGCATCTCTGCTTAACCAAAAGGAGATTTTCTGGGCAGCCGGCAAGTTTGCTAAATGTTTATTTATCTTGATTTAAGTTATAGTTAAAAGGGACGTGTTAGTAATCGCCGCCCTTCTAAAATACTTAGCTTGAATAAATGAGAAAAATTGGACAACTATTTAAAGTGTAGTAGATTTTTAAAACCAAATTATATAGTCCTAGTAAGAGTAAATCAGTCAATATCTGATTTAGTGAAAAAAGGCTTTAAGTTAAATGGCACGCTCCAATTTAGAATTGGGTCGTTAAATAAACACTTTAGACAATGATCATTTTTCCGTGTAGTCTTTACATTACTACAAAACCAAAAGTTAATCAATTGAACTCCATAAAGTCATTTTTTTAAAAATCAATAGTTAATGTAGTCAAAAGCGCTCAGCCGAAGCAATTTAGGGCCTCATTTGCAATCTAGTTGCTTCAACAAAAGAATATTATTTTAAATGTTAACTGGAAAAAATAATGTTACAAAGAACCTTTATAATTCAAAGACACCGCTCAGTATAATAATATAAAGCTGTTTTGTGCAATTACATTGTGGGTAGTTAAATACATTAGTTTACATACCACGCCAACAACTTAACTGCCTGGGAGAGCATCATTAACCTACAAGTTTGTTCCCAGATGCCTCAGAGCTGAAATTTTTTTAGGTACTTTCCGATACTGCTTTAGAAAAAAAATCAACAATGTTTGGTCCTATATTTTTTTTAGCTATACAGTGTTCATTCGAAGTGGATATCGACTAAAACCGGGAAAAAGAATATTTACTAAAAACAACTTGAAAAAATCTTGAGTATTACTTAACTTATAGAAAAAGTTTTTTAGAAGCTTTTCGTAAACCAAAATGTAGCATTCTAAAAAGCTATGATTGAATGTGTTCACTTGCTGCGTGGGTGAAGGTTTTATATTTCCGTGATAATTTGGATAAAAGTGTATGATATTGTTTAACATTTTTCTTGGTCTAACGATGTTTGATAGTTGTTGATCTTCTTGCTGTTTTGCGCAACACTAAAAATTTTCTCTCTTCCTTATCCGTAATGTGCTCTTTCAAAATTTGAATAGAGTTTTCCTAACTGAGAATGTTGGACACGGACACTGTGTTCACTTGTTCACACAAAAGAGGATCTCTAGCAAAAAACAACATTTTGTTAAATCTCCGATTTTAAATGGATTGATATTTGAGTGGTTTTAAACAAGCGTTTTACTTTTTGATCAGAAAAATCTATTTTGTCTTTTTGTGGATACGTGAGCCAAGATGCCATGCTTCATAATAGGTTGCTTGAAAATTTTGTAAGTTGTAACAAGATGCTTAGTCGAGAGAAGTTTTTGTACCCACATAAAAAAAACTCGCAAAACTTCGAGGCTTTCGTACCGAGAATATCAATGTGTTCATCAAAGCTCAGCTGTTCATCAATGTTTATTCCAAGATATCTGAAGAAAAATTCTTTTGCTCTTTTGGGCGATCATTTAAAAAGCAATTTGGGGGTTCACTTTTTCTTTTTTTTGCTGTTTTTTAAAGCATCTTGATGACATGACCTAATTGAGTGTCGTCAGCGCATAGTAAACAAATTGAGTTAGGGAAAACGGCTGATCATCCCTAAACATCACGTCTGTCTCAATCCTTCTCTCCCTTTTAAACATGGAAGAACTCCCCTTGCATCATCCCTCAACTGCCGTGGGCTCAGGGGGGATGGAGATTTAAACTTGGTTTCATTTTTTTTGTAATGCTCATAAAACTGAACGTGTTTGTGTTTCAGCCTCGTTTTTGACCCCTGCCACCAACTACACCTACAGACTGGATGTATATGACTCACAAAATGACATCACAGTCACCTCTGACTCATTCTTGTTCTGCACAAGTTAGTACAACACACACACAAGTTAACAAGTTGCTAAGCAGAAAAACTGTAATCAAATTTTCGCAGATGTTCATTTTTAAATTTTTCGTTTTTAGTAAAAAAAAAAAATCACAAAAATGGCCCCGTTTTCAAGTCGTGGAAATTTACATAAGTTGCTGTTCTTGGCTTTGGACGCAAAAGAATGTTGAATATTTGTTGTATGAAGAATTCTAAGGGATCGCAGAACTTGCATAATTTGTCTCACAATATAAAACAGTAAAGAAAAACGAATTTGGGCCAAGCTAACATTCTTCTTCACCCCCTGGCCGCTGAGGAGTGATGATGTTAACTTGGTTCTGATCTTGAACTTTCAGCCAATCAGAATAAAGCATTTTACAAGAAAAGCTTAGCAAATGTAATTTAAAATGGACGCTCGGATTGAGGATCTTAACTTGGTCTGTCTATCTAGGGGGGGGGGGGGGAAGTTAACTTGATCCAAGATATTATATGCCGAATTTTGAAGAAAAAGAATGGATTATGTCATCAGCGGATTTAAGGGGGGGGGGGGTGGTAGAATGGACGCTTTATCCTCAGGGATAAGACCCCCTTTCGACTTAAAGGGTTCCCCCTTTGTACTATTTTGAGATACAAAAATTTTGAGGGGGGAGCGTGCGACGAAAAAACGCAATTTTTTGGTCAATTTTTTTCTCCAAAAACGGTCTAAAAACGCCTTTTCTGGCCTGTTTTTTCAAAAATTGGCGGCGGCGCAGAAAATTTGACCAAAATGGGGTCTTTTTAGTCATTTATGAGAGCTCAGAATATCAATTTGCTCGAACTAAAAAAAAGTCGAGAAAGGTTTCGATTTTTTTTTTTGAAAATCCGCCCTACCTCGAGGAAATCTTCGATCCACCCTTGGATTATGTAGTTAATTTCTTTTTGACCTAATTCGGTTTTTTAACTTGCAAAATTGACCGGAATTTGAAAGCTGAAAGTTAAAAAAAATAGTCATTCAACCTTTAGGTAATGGTGGATTTTAACCTTTTTTAAATGGAAGAAGAACGCGAAACTTTGAACAAAACTGTAGCAGTCTGGAACACAAAAGTTCTTTATGGTAAATCAAGTTAAACATTAGCGTGTATTGAACGGTGTTTACCCACAGTGCCGCATTTCTGGAGAGGCTAAAAAAACTGAAACCTTTGTTAAGATAATTTTGAAGTAATTGGCGACAAAATAAAAGTTCCATAAATAGGCAAAATTGTCATAAAATCAAAACTATGCTTTTAAAGATACAATGGACAAAAAAAATTGATTTATGTAATAACTTTGCTTTTACGGAACAAGATAGAGAAGAAAACGAGCTGAAGCTGAAGAAAACGAGAAGAAGCTACTACCTCAATACGCATTATTTTTGCCGACCAAGAACTAATTTTTCTCGGCTCTCCAGTAAACTGTTAATTAAACGCGCAGTTAAATAACTGTTATGTGGGAGGCGAGGAGCGGGAGCCGAAAACGTGATCGAAACCACGTTTTACTGCATTTTTTTTGTCAAAAAAAATTTCAAAATTTAAATAGGTCAAAACGTTTGTTTTTAGGGTCTTTTATTTAATTGGTGGGGTATAATAGTAAACACTTAATTGAATTGAAAAACTTTTTAAATTGAATATTTTCAATAATATATTTTTTGAGCGAATCGGAATTCATCGGCTATCCGAGACAAGAACGATTTCGGATCTCCGGTAACAAAACTTTTTTTGACTATCTGGGAGCAAACACCTTTTTCGACTATCCAATTGTTCAACTATGTAACACGCCATCTATAGGAAACAAACCGAAGTGATTTATAGCCGGAAAATTCCGGTCAAAATCCAACTTTTTCACTCCATAGTGACCACAAAAAAAATCAAAAAAATTTTGCGCTGAATTCAAAAGCTCTGAACAATCAAAATTTTAAAAACAAGTACTAGATAACGAAGATTCACAAGTTGACAAAAAAGGTCTTTTTGCAACCGTCAACACAACCCGACGGGCCAGTCTGGACTGCCAATTTAGATCTGAAAAACGCTTGAAGTCAACTCAAATTTTACGATGCAACTAGTAAACAAGGCAACGTCAGCATTTTAAGCGAAACTAACATTGAATAAAACTCATTTTTCAACCAAATTATATGGACTTGGAGATGCGTGGGAAAATTTTTAAAGAACCATGGAATCAGTTTTAAATGGCAGTTTTTGCTCGAATTGATTCATTCATTGACGATACTTTAAATCTGTCAAAAAAGTCCTTTGCAGAGCGCAAAACGATGTAAGCAAAAACAATCTTAATCTCTAGCAAGAACAATATGGCAGTGAAATGGGGAAAAATGGAAAAAAATTATTTTATAAAGAAATTGGTTAGTTAGGATTCAACTCATAAGAAGCAGGGGTGCATTTTTGGTCGGAAAGGCCAACGCAATTAGAATAATTCCCATACCAAAGAACACATCTGAACTCCGATCAATTCTTATGGTTCAATAAACCATTTTGTCAAAGCCTACCAAACTATTCAACACTTAAGTTGCCGGTCAGATTGCTGTTACACAAAACATTTGCCTGATAAAGCATAAGTTTGCATTTTGTAGGATTTTGATTTTGTAGTGCTTTTACCCAATCAATCCCATTCACATTCTAGCTTTCAAAGAACTAAAGGTAGAAATTATAAAAATTACGAAAAGCTGCCAATTAAACGTTAAAGAGAAAACTAGTTTGAAAAATTAGACTTATCACAACAGATTATAGGCAATGGTGGAACAGTTCGGCCAAAAATATATTTAAAATTCTCGAAAAGATATACTCTACTAATAAACTGGAACTTTGGACGTAGTTTGAGCTTCGGAGCTTTGTAGGAAGTATCTTCACGGTTCAGAGTTTGAAAACGCTACTTATCTTAAAACTAAAAGCTTTCTTTCTAGCTTTTTCAGCCAACCACAGCAATAAGACGATGCACAGAAAACCTAGAAGACTCGCCCGTAGAGTGAACAGTTTTTTCGTTCATTTTTTAAATTTTTTTCACCAGGGTTTACTAATCTTTTACCAAGATCTTCATCAAGCAAAAACTAACCATCGTATCCCTAGGACAAAAAGTTTGTTGCGGCTCAATTTGTAAAACAGGAGGAATTTGAATAAATAGCAATACAAAATTAAAGTGAATAACCATTCTGTAATAATACCGTTGGCCACTGTAATGTTAACTCTTATCATCTAGTCAGGAACGTCTTTTTGAGTAACGCGATTAGTTTCAGATGCAAAAACCAGGTTATTAACCTCATTTAGACTCAAAGTTAGTGCTTCTTTTAATACTTGTATTGCTTAGTCACTCAAGTTTTGCGACAATTTTCACATTAGGGCAGAAAAGTATTACTAAGTTGCTTACATTTAGACAACTCTAGTTTCATTTTAAGTGAATTATTTTCATAGACTAAGTACATTGGATCAAAAGTGCACCAAGCAGTGGCCAAAGTCAGGAACTTTTTTAATCAGAACCTTTTCTCATAGTCTCAGAGGAAAAATATTTTGCTTTGAAAACCAAAGATAAGTTGTTTATGGCCGACCCTTAGGCCTACTCAAACAGTGTAAAGCTGATCTTATTTCGTCCACCAGTCCTTTCATTCCAGAAAGCCGCTGTTCCAGGAGGAAGCTATTTCAGATGATGACGAAAGACGAGAAAATCGTTGAGGACCTATTTTTGACATTAGACCATTAGGAGACCTTGGAGCGTTGATTGTAGAATTAGGGGATTCCTTCGCAAGCTGTCCCTTTGGCAGTGAATTCAGCGGGGCGACCGAGATTTACTACTTTCTACAATCCCGAAAGGGTTGATCTGGTGGCAAAAATCCTGTATTGCTCTCTGTTGCTTGCCGCTTTTGTGTATTGCTCTTCTGGCTGTCTTGTCTACTCGATACAATCGCAAGAGTTTCTAATTTTAGATAAATTCAGATGATTATACGTCTGATTACAGAGGGCTCTGAGTGGCCAGGTTATTATCCAATAATCAAATCAAAAGGAAAGGGTCTGCGATTTATGAGCATTAATTGCCTTATTGCAATTAACTTCCAGCTAACTCCACTAATACTGAACTATTCTCTCTCTAGAGAATCTCTGACTAGTGCAACTATCTAATTTTTCTGCTACAGTTGTTCTCTTATTTCGAGAACCAACTACTCGTTTAGCTAGCAATAATTTTTCTCTCTAACTAACGGAGAACCTACTATACTCTCTCTCAGTTTCAATTGCTCTCTTCTCTGACTGAGAACCAACTACTCTCAATAGTAGTTAACAACTGTTCTGACTCTTAAAGGCTCTCCGGTACCCTCCACTTCCTTATCTTTCCTTACACTTAGTTTTAGTTAAGTCACGCCATTCCATATCTGTCCAGACATCCGCTTAAGTCACCGGTCCGCAAGTTTTAAGGCTATATCCCTCCCCCTGTCACTTCTGCGACGTGCGAACTTCGGTTTCTTTTATCAATCTTTTCACGCTTATTAGGTAACCGGTATGCGGTAGGTGTCACAATTTGACCAAGCAAACAAATGTCATACGATTCTAGTCAACTAATTCCTGACCTCAGTGACTTCAGCCCTCGAGCTCAACTAACCTCTAAACCATGATATGTTTACCCAGTGATCCTCCCAAGGTCTTTATTTTAAATATCCCGTTAACGTTCCGACCTCCTTAGTGTAGGGGGAGACCCTTTTTATGGGTAGCTAATTCATTTCAAGCATCTAAAACTTCTATCTGTTTTCTATTCCAATCCCGATCTTCTAGCTATCAGGGGAACGTAGTTCGTCTATTAGGGGTCAAATTAAACCAAAAAATCACTTCCGAGAAGCCAAGTAAATTTCCCGTTCGTTCATACTTTTTAGGAGATTTAATTCTCATGCTACGGTCCTTTTACTATCAGATTGCTCTGGGACTACTTTTCTTTAGTGTAGTTGAAATGCTATTAATAGATCACTCCCCAAGCTAAACTGAACCCAATGTTTACCA